AAATCTGCTGTCAAGGACCTTCCAAAGTGCTAAAGGACAACGATGTAGTTGAAAAATAAAGTGCACCTGTTCTAAATCACAGTCTTTTCAATTGCTTTCTATGCATTCGAAAGTTGGACCTCCGAATTTTTGCCGTTAAGTACCAACTACATTTTTGTGCTATGATTCTCTGATATTCAGAGGATGAGAAGAGACACCTAAGTAACTGCTATTCTAAGTAATCCAGAGCCCTCTCCCCATTGTAAGGCTTCCTACTGCCCACTTCCTCGCCTTCCTTCCTGAGGACTTGTGGAATTGAGTTACAGACTGCAGGGTGTAACGCTCAGTGAGGCCTCGGTCTTCAGAAGAAGGAAGAGTGATCTCAAAGTCTGAGCCTAAAAGGAACCCAAGCCCAGAGGCTGCTTACAAAGTAACCAACTGTCATGGACATATGCTGACTCTAGAGGACGTCACGTCTAGCACAGTAGATCTGTTCTCTATAGCATTTTCAATGGCTCATTTTTCAAAAAGAAATCGTCAAGCCTTTCTTCCACGGCTTACTGGAACCTCCAAACTTTTGGTCAGTGGTCAAATGTGTTAACTCTTGGTACCAGTAACACTAAATTTACAGAGCAATTAGTAGGAAATATGTTGCAACTGGAAACTGATCAAACATGCAACCAAGATACAGTTAGTAATACTGGATGACTGGAATGCAGAAGTTGAGAACAGGGAAGATGCGGTAGGAAGGAAACATGGACTTAGTGGCAGAAATGAGACTGGAGACAGAATGACAGAATTCTGTATAATCAATGATTTATTAATTGCAAATACCTTTCATAAGAAACAAAAATGGTGACTAACCACATGGACCTCGCCTGATGGCCTACACAGGAATTAGATTGGGACCAATTATGTGGGACCAATCATTGGAGAAGCTCAATATCAGGTGTGAAAATTATGCCAGGTGCCAATTGTGGATCAGATCACCAGCTACTTGTATGCAAGTTCAAATTGAAGTTAAAATAAAACCAAATCCACAAGAACCAAAGTTTGACCTTGAGTCAAACCCTCATGTATTTAAAGACCATCTCAGGAACAGGTTTGAGTATCTGAATAATAATGAGCAAAGACCAGACAAGCTATGTGATAATATCAAGGATATCATCCATGAAAAATGCAAAAGGTCATTACAAAGATGAAGGAAGAAGACCAAAATGGGTGTCAGAAGAGACTCTGAATATTGCACTACAGTGCTGAGAAGCCAAAGCAAAGGGAAGAAATCAAGAAATGAAGGAGCTGAACAGAAGATTTCAAAGGGCATCATGGGAAGACAAAGCATAATATTATAATGAAATATGCAAAGAGCTGGATTTGGAAAATCAAAAGGGATGGACTTGCTCAGCACTTTTTAAGCTGAAGGAATTGAAGAACAAATTCAAGCCTCCAGTTGCAGTACTTAAGAGTGCTGAATAATCCAGGAAGCAATAAAAGAAGATGGAAGGAGTACACATAGAGTCACTATATATATATATATATATATATATATATATATATTATATAAATTGGCTGACACTGAAATAATATATGATCAAGAGCCTTTGGTGATGAAGGAGGAAGTTCAAGCTGCTCTTAACTGGCAAAACTCGAGGCCCCAGGAATTGACAGCATACCAACCAACATATTTCAACAAACTGATGCTGACATGGACACGCTCACCAGGTTGTGTCAAGAAATCTGGAGGATAACCACCTGGCCAACTGATGGGAAAAGATCCATGTCTATTCCAGTTCGAAAGAAGGTGACCCGACAAGAGTGTGGAAATTACTGAACAATATCATTAATATCACATGCAAGCAAGATCCTGCTGAAAATTATACAAAAAGGACTGGAACAGCAGTTCAACAGAGAACTGCCAGATGTGCAGGATGGGTTTAGAGGAGCCGCAGCACTAGGGACATTATAGCCAATGTCAGATGGATCTTGGCTGAAGAAGACTGTGTGTCATTGACTATGCAATGACATTTGACAAACTGTGGCTAACTCTGAGAAGAATGGGAATCCCAGAACACTTAATTGTGCTTATACTAAACCTGTACTTGAATTAGGAGGTAGTCATCAGAACAGAGCAAGGCTCAAAATCAGGAAAGCAGTGCATTGGGGATGTATCCCATCTCCATACCTTTTCAATCTATATGCAGAATAGGTCATCTGGGAGGCTGGGCTCTATGAGGAGGAATGTGGCATCAGGACTGGAGGAAGACTCATTAACAACCTACACAAACAAAGATCCTCATCACTGGGCCAGCTTGCATGGCTCCACAATCAACACTCTTGGTAGCAGTTAGGAAGTCATAAGATGAATTTCACTGGGAAAATCTGCTGTCAGGGCCCTCTCCAGAGTACTGAAGAACAAGGATGTCAGTCTAGAGACTAAGGTGGCCTAGAGCATGGTCTTCACAATTACCTGTTGTGCACCAGAGAGCTGGACAACGACTAAGGACCATCGAAAAAGAATCTATGCCTTTGAATTGTGGTGCTGGAGAAGAGTATGGAAGAGTACCACGGATTGCTAAGAAAACAATCAGGTCAGTCCTGGATAGGGTGAAACCAGACTGCTCCTTGGAAGTAAGGATTTTTAAGTTCCATCTAACATACTTTGGGTATGTTGTAAGGAGGGACAAATCCTTGGAGAGGGACATCATGTTTGGAAGGGTGGAGGGAAAGCACAAGAGTAGAAGACCCTAGATGAGATGGTTTAATTCAGTGACTGGGATAATGGGGTAGGTGTATTGAAGACAATGAAATTGGCTCAGGATAGAGCAGGGTTCAGAGCTGTCGTATATAGGGTCATATGAGTCAGAGTTGACTTGACAGCATTTAACATGTGACCTAGTGTCAAGAAGCTGCATTGTGATCCTGAAGACACACAGTTTACGTTCGCCACCTGCTCTGTGGGAAAAGGATGGTCAGTATCCTCCCATGTGATTAACTGCCTCTGAAAACCCACCAGAAGGTCAGGTATGGTTCAGTTCCAACTTGATGGTACACAGCAACAAAAACAACACATCGTATTTTAGGGCATTCTGGTGGCATAGTCTACACTGAGTTGCATGGTAACCCAACCCAAAGTTCTCCCCAGTCTGGTGGTTCTTATCAACCAGTGGCTCCAAGAGAGGAAGATGTACAGTCTCTTCTTTTGTGACTTACAACCCTGAGAAACTGTAGAATTAGTCTGACCGTATAGCAATGAGTTTGAGTTTAGATGCCATAATTTAGATGTATTATGTGAACAAAGGTCATCAGTACGAATCTACCAGATGTTTCACCAAAGAAAGATGGGAAGTCTCTTTGTGCAAAGATACACAGCCTTGGAAACTTGATGGAAGTTCATTGTGAGTCAGAATCAACTCGATAGCAGTTGGGTTTTTCTAAAATCTCATTTAACTCCTGTAGCAACCCTGTGTAGCCAGATTGCTCCTAGAAGGCAAGGATGGCAAAGTTTCATTTCACGTAATTTCAGCATGTTGGTAGGAGAGGATATTCTTTAGAGGGGGACATCATGCTTGAAAAGATCAGTGAAGGACAGGAAGACCTTCAACCACATGGACGAACTCGAAGGACAGGAAGACTTTCAACCACGTAAACTGACTGCACAGTGACTAACTCAAGTGAGTTAGAGATGATGAGACTGGCGCAGGACAGGATAGGGTTCAGATCTGTTGTTCATAGTGCTGGGAATCATACTCAATTCAATAACAACAACAACACTGTAAGAGAGAGACTGATATAATCTCTAATGAGACACAGAAAAGGCCCTTGTTCAAGTCACAAATCTAATAAATGAAGGATTCAGGTTCTTCAGGTTCTCACACCCTATTCTAGTCTATCTCCTTATTTAAACCAGGTTTTGAAGGAAAGATTTCAGAGAGAATTCTTACTCACAAATAGGTAAAATGTAAGCCCGTTTTCCCCCAAAGTTACACATCTTTTTAGGGCAGAACTAATGTATGACTCAGTAACAGATTCTTACTACTTCATTATACAAAAGCACAGTGAAGAGAAGAGCTGGAATATGTTTTAGACATGATAAAATACTACACAGCATTCAGGAGCAATGATTTTGTAAATTACTACCTAACTTGGGAGGGACTGGAGAGCGTTATACTATGTGAACTCACTCAGTCATATAGGGACAAGTGTGGTATAGGACCATTATTGTGAAACGTGTATGAGGATCCAAGGTGGGAAAGGTGGGAACAAAGGGGTGAGGAGGGTGTAATCATAGGGTTGCACAATTTGATGGGTGGAGGGAAGGGTGGAAATAGGAAATGGGAAAGATCCAGTGTGGAAAGCAATGTATAGAACACTATAAGTAAACCAGTACTTTTTTTTTTTTTTTAAAAAAAAAAAAAAAAAGGAATCTTAAGGGTAGAATTAAAGACTCCTGGCTCTTGGTTCCTGATTCTCCCTGACCCACTCTGGGGCCACAGGTACCAACGCTCCTCAGGAGCTTCACTATGGGTGTCCTGCTCAGCCTGGATCTGGCACATGTCTTGTGATGGGATCAGCCCTGAGCCAGGCACCACAGCCCACTGGAGAGATTCCTAATGGGAGCGCCCAGATCAGTAGATTTTCAAGAAGGAAACCCCATATGAAGTCAGATCTGTCTCCTGTCCTGTCATGGCACAGACAGGAACATCTGGTGAGAGGTCTGATCCAGTCCCTCTTTCCTGGAGGCTTCACCTGTTAGGAGTAGAAGCCCAGGTGTCCCTTCATACCTGGACTGTTTTTTGCTCCCTACTGCAAAGTGCTAGTGACAAGGACTCTCTCTCCAAGAGGTATGGATAATAGCTAAGCCTCTGAGTAGATAGAAGGCAAGAAAAAGGAGAGGGAGAAGTCTCCCCAGATCCTACCCAAATCTGAGGCTATCTGATGCCACTGCATTCTAAGCCCAAAGCCTACAGCAAGGGAGTTTGGAATGGGTCTTGGCTCTTTTGAGTTTCTTCCCAGATGCTTACCTGTGGCTGCTGGGTGGTTAAGGGTCTCTGAGGAGACAGGGCAGGGGTCCTGGACAGCAGGTGGTTCATCTTATTAATGACTAGTTCTGTGATGAGCTGTCTGTCCTCTACCTGGTGCTCCCCAATCAGCGGCATACTGCAGTCCATGACCTGGAGGAAAGTGTGGCCACATAAGAAGAGAGTCTAGAAACAGAAAAGGCCTGGTCCAGTCTTTAGAATGGGTAGGAGTTAAGACAGCAGAAATCACCTGGAGATGATGCTGGTATTTTTGTCAATTTGAAGCCTGTTTTTTTGCTAGAATAGGATCTTTCTTCTCTCCTTCTACAAACCTGTGCCTCAGGCCTGTCTCTCAAGCTTCAGCCACACCAGCACAAAATGATACTAAAGAATAATGGCTGAAAGATTTTACAAACAGGGACACAGAAAGAAAGATCTGGTCAACACAGTTCCTCATATCCCTGGATCAGAGTAGTCAGCTTTCATCTCTGTGACCTTTCTCCTACCCATCGCTGTCTCCAGATATACTCTGCTCATTACATGACTGGATTCCTGCCTTTGCTTCTGATTTGGCACGCTGCCTTTTCTCTTTCACCATCAATCCTGATCCTTCCCACCTTTCAAAGTCCAGAACAATACTTGCCTCCTGTAGGAAGTTTTTGCTTTACTTGGATCACAGACTTTATAGCAACCTCTCTCCTTTATAAATATGAAAACTGTGCCTACCCAGAGAGAGGTAATCCTCTAGATTAAATCCAATTAATATCACAGAGGAGATTCTAAAGGCTATTTTAGGCTTCTGACATGAGTACTATGGAATACTACCAAGTCCTTAAGGAAGCCTTTCCTGACTCCTGGAAAGATAACATCAGAAATGTGTGTGAAATATTCATACTGCCATTATCTTTCCCTTGAATACAGGAGAGGAGAATCAGTAAATTTTGTTGGAAAACCAAACTGAATAATGTGTCTCCAAGGCCCAAGAAGATACTAAGGACTTCCTTAATCCAGGACACCAATTCATTGACCAGGACTGATTCATTGACCTTGAGCAAATGTTCACAACTATAAGGCTCAGTTTTCAAACCTGAAAAAAACATGTTGAATCTAGTGAGTCTCAAGGTCAATTTTGTGAGAATGAGAATAGTCAAAAATACTATACTCTTCTCCAGAGGAATGGCAATAGGCCATTAAGGATTTATTCTTCAAATGGCTTCTGTTGCCATTGACTGACTTTGACATGTAGATGGGTGGGAAGTTGAGAATAGAGCACGTTAGCTTGTCCACAAGGGGATTGGCTAGTATCTCTATTACACTGAGCAGATCTAGTAGCAGAACTTGAGAATCTCACCACCAAAAAAGAAGCTGGCATGCAACGCATGCCCTTCGGGGCCATAGATTCTTACACCAGCAGCAGCAGTCAGGGCTGAAGGTGAGTACCAGAGACCCAACATGAGATGGAGTTGACTTTGGGACTGCTACCTCATGGAGGAGCAATAGCTACGAGCTATTGCTCATGTTTGTTGGAGGACTTGGGAAGGAGGAAGCCACAGTTGGCAGGAGTGGACTAAAGCCATGCGGCACCTGTGAGTAAGTCAGCAGTGGATCTGATTGAGTGATTGTATTCTGCTACTAACCTGCCAAAAGAACAAATATATATATTGGAGAAAGTGCAGTCAAAGTGTTCCTTGGACACAAAGATAAAGCTTCTCCTCACATTATTTGGCATATTGCTAGGAGAGAGTATCCTTTGGAAAGGGACATCAAACTTGGAAAGGTGAAGGGTTAGCAAGAGAGGAAGAGAGGAAGACCCTCAATCAGATGGATTGACACAGGGACTGCTGCAATGGGCTCAAGAGTGTCAGAGATTGTAAGGATGGCAAAGGGTTCAGATCTGTTGTTCATAGGGTGGCTATGGGACGTACTTGACTTGATAGCATCTAACAACAACAACACTAACCTGAATTACAGCCTTTTGACTTTCCTAATATGGTTCTGTATGGTCTGTGAGATATCACAACAAATTTTGGACCCAGTAAAGCAGAAGGTTGGTGTTTGGGATTATAATAAAAGAAGTATAGGAGCGTGGGGGGCATATCTGACCTTAAGAGAAATGGTTTTGTGTTGTTGACAGGGACAGTTCCACCTTGTGGAGTTGGTGAAAGTCAGATATCGCTTTCCTTATGCAGCGCTTGCTCTTTTTACACTTCCTGCCTAAACCCTTTAGATATGTTATCTCCTACAAATCTGTTATTAAGGACCTCTCCAAGGTTCCAAGGACAAACAATATCAGTTTAAACACTAAGGTGCATCTGATCCCATACAAGGTCTTCTCAATTACTTGCTATGCACCTGGAAACCAGATAATGGGAAGGACAAAATAAAAATTGATGCCTTTGAGTTATGGTGTTGGAGAAGAGTATTAATATTTAATGGACTGCCAAAAGTACGTCTTGGAAAATGTGCATCCAGGGTGCTCCTTAAAGGTAAGAATAGTAAGACTTCATCTCACATACTTTGGATATGTTGTCAGGAGGGGCCAGTTCTAAGAAAAAGACATCATGCTTGGAAAGGTGGAGGGTCAGTGAAGAGAGGAAGACCCTCAATAAGACAGAATGATGACACAGTGACTGTAACAATGGCTCAAGTATAGAAGGAAACCCCATATGAAGTCAGATCTGTCTCCTGTCCTGTCATGGCACAGACAGGAACATCTGGTGAGAGGTCTGATCCTCATCTCAGGATGATGAGGCTGGCACAGGGCACGGCAAGGTACAAATTTGCTATCATAGGGTCGCTTAGGGTTACAGTTGACTCAATGGTACCTAACACCACCACTACAACAAGTTGTTGGTCAGTCTAATCAGCTGACAGCAGTGATTCCCCAGTGGCAAAGCAATCTTGCTATGCAGGCTTAACCTATCTGGGGCCAAGAAGACGTTAACTCATATGCAGTCTAGATCCCCATTGTTGTTGCATATCAGAGAGTCGGAACCAACCCATAACTGACCCTCTGGTAGTTTTTAAGAGGCAGTTACTTGCACGGGAGTAGACTGTCTATCGTTCTCCCATAGCTGGTGGCCTCAAACCACGTGCCTTCAGGATTGCAGCACAGCTTCTTACTACTAGGCCACTAGAACTCCTAGGCTTCCCATAGAATTCTCAAATAAAAACTTAGCCTCCAGCATTGGTGGCTGTCTCTGAGATGCTCCTCGAGCCAGACTTACCTCAAAAATGTAGTCTTTCCCATCTTTGCCATGTACAGCTTTGACAGCACAGATGTCCAGGCCTCCAAACATCTCAGAGCAGGTGTCTACCCACATCTTGTACCTAGAGGGAACAGGAAGTATCCTGAGCCCTGGGCATTAATGCCTATTGAGTCTGCCACTGCTCAAGCACATCTTGGTCCCTCCACCTCTTTCATCCCTTTTACATCCCTCCCTCTCCTCATTAAGGTCATTCTTTTATCTATAGTGCCCTCCTGTCTGCTCTTCAGAGCCTGCCCATCTTTCCAGGCCCAGAGCAGTTCTGTTTCACCACCTCCAGGATGTCTTTTTTGGTTAACTCCAACCTACACCAATTACTCCTTCTTTGGAGTGTATATGGTATTTATCGTCATTCTTTAGCACATAACCCAGGCTTGTCTGATCTTGCTAACTGGCTGCATGGACATGCATGCTTTCTTTTCTCTGTTATCAGAGGCTCCCTTTAGGCAAGGCTGATTTCAGAAATCCCTTCATCTGTGGAAGTCTCTCTAGCTGGGTAAGGGCCCTCCACTCACCTGTCTGACATGGCGATCTGTTCCAGCATTGCAGAGCCTGTGTTTGTCTTCCAGTTCCCTGAGATGGAGGTCCTCCTGCAACAAGGTCCCCCCAGATCAGGACAGGTGACAAGCCATATCAGTAAGAGGAGAGCTAGAATCTTCCAGAATTGTAGCTAATGGCTGCTTTCCCCATGTACTGCTCCTACAAAGAGCCTAAGGCTCTGGCTTCTCAGCCTACCTACCACCCAGGTGCACCACCTGCAATGCCCATCTCTCCTTCACAGAAGAACCTTCCCTGATTTTTTCAAACATGAGCACTGATGTTCTGCATTGAGTTCCTACACCTCATTTGCAATCCTGACTATAATTACTTTTACATGTACAAAAGACTTAAGTCTTATGTCTGTCAGTCACTTGATTCCAGAGCTAACTTGCTCAGTATCTGTTCTGTTTGTTCAGTATACACAATTTCAATTTCATTGAGCCTGAGACCTCCTATGGTATTCTTATTGCCTCATGCATTCAGTCATTCAACAGCTAATATCGAGGATCCACAATATTAGCAACACAACTCTGGGCAAGTCTGTTAACGTGTTTGTAAGCTGTCTTTTCAGTTAAATAGAGCTGAGGGCATCAAGCAGCCACCTGCTCTATTGTGCCTCCTCAGCCTCATCCTGAGCACATGTGGGAATCAGGTAGCTGGGACTAAAGAGGAGGCAGAGAGACACATCTCTGGTTCTGCATTTGTTCTTAACTAGCTGAGTGACTTCACCTAGCTTACGAGAACCAACTGACAGAGGTTAAAAAAACCTATAAGAAAACAAACCCTATAAGCCACAAAAGTACCTTCTTGCATGATCAATCTTCACTCAGATTCAGTGAAGAGGAGGGGAAGGACTTCGGGGTAGAAGATTCCTTCTAACCTCATTGATAAAGTCCTGTCCTCATCCATCTCCATCACTCAGATTGTTAGGAGATTGCATGTGTTAATCTCCATCAATATTTTCCAGAAACATCATTCCCAGAGACCTAAGATAGTAAGAAACTCCCCTAGTTTTCAGAGCTCTGGAGTTGTCTGGTAAGTCAACTGATGGGGTTAACTCCTCACCTTTGTACATCACTGATCACTTTCCTTCTCGGTAAGCTCCTCACTATAGTCTCACTTAAACATCTCTGTTGCGAGAAAGTTAGAATTTCTGTCTCTGCTCTATGAGATGGCGCTCAAATAAATTACATACATTTGTCCAAGGTTGTATGCCATCCTCATCAAAGCAGCCGTTGTTGTTGTTGTTGTTTTTGTGTACCGTAGAGTTGAAACCAACTGACCCTTCAGAAGGTTTTCAGAGGCAGTTAATTGAATGGGAAAAGATTGCCCATCCTTCTTCCACGGACTGGCTGGTGGCCTCAAACTACATACCTTCAGAATTGCAGCACAGCTTCTTACCACTATGTCACTAGAGCTCCCCCAAAGTAGCTATGAGATAAAAATCCAGATCTCCTGGCTCAGTCAGTGTTATGCTCTTTACCCTACACTCTACTACTTAGCTCAGAAAAAGAAATACAACAGCTGAGTAGTTTTCAAACCCTGAGTATAAACACAAAAGTAGCATATAATAAAAGTAGCATATAGTCAACAACACTGGTGACTTATAAGTGTGTTCCTGACACCAGATTTGAGCTCCTCAGAGACAGAACAGGGAATTCATTCACTTCCAGTACAGAGCCATTATATACAAATAGGGTCTAAGCAACTTAGCAAATAGTAACTACACCCCAGATCTGCATGAAACTTTAGAGTTCACAAAATTCCTTTAGGGTTTACTCCTTACCTTCTCCAGCCAGGAAGCAGGCTCAGACCACCTCACAGGTTGCCTGGGCATATAAGAGTAGAAGGGACCCTGAACAGTCATTCAGAGATAAGCCTACAACCTCCCTGGAAGGGCTCATCTAGTCTCTACTGAGAGTGGAGGGAGGAACAGCACCTTGCTTCCACCAAGCATGGATATCACAAGGTTCTTCAAGAAGAGGGCTGGGGAAGCAGGAAAGAATTCCAAAACTTGCTGTGGCTTTTGACAAGATAAGAACACGGGTATCACCAAATGTTTAGAGGGGTGGCAGAAAGACTCTGAGAGTACCTAAGCATGTCCTCATATATCTGAAGGTTCCTTATCAAAAAAGAGAAATAAATATTCTCTAAACAGGTTTGAGGCCTTGAACACTAATGAGCGAAGACCAGATGAGATATCAAATGTATCGTCCAGGAAGAGTGCAAACAGTCATCACAAAGACAGAAGAGGAAGAAAAGACTAAAATGGATGTCAGAAGAAACTCTGAAGACTGCACTGGAACGTAGAGAAGCCAAAGCACAAGGAAGATTTCAAGACACTAAGGAGCTGAACAGAAGAGTCCAAAAGGCAGCATGGAATGACGGAGCAAAATATTACAATGAAATGCGCAAGGAGCTAGAGTCAGAAAATCAAAAGGGCAGAACTCATTCAGCATTTCTTAAGTTCAAAGAACTGAAGAACAAATTCAAACCTCGAGTTGCTATAATCAAGAATGCTTTAGGCAGAATGTTAAATGATCCAGGAGGTATCAAAAGAAGATGGAAGGAATATACTGAGCCACTGTATCAAAAGGAATTGGCAGATACAGAAGAATTTAATGAAATAACATTTGAGCAAGAGCCTATGATGATGAAGGAATAATTTCAAGCTGCTTTGAAGGAAA